CCCCTCCCTCAGGGTCAGGGGGACAGCCCAGGGACCTCACCCACTGTCAAAGGTGACCCTCAGCCACCTCCAAGAGGGCAGCAACCAGGTTTGTTTCTGCTCACGGTGGTCTCTCCCCTGCACCTGTCATGGGGCTGGGCCCCAAGTTGGCTGTCCCTGAACGTCCCAGCTATTCTCACCGTGCACGGGGAGCTGGCGCTAAGCCACAAAAGCAGGACTGGGTTCTTGCTCACAAGGCATCCCCCACACAGCAGAGTGTCAAGCACACAGCAGGCGCTCAATTAATGTCTATGGTGCAAAGTCGGAACAAGGGTGCACAAAGAGCCCCCAGACTCAAGCCAGCTGTCATCTTGGTGTGTATGGATGTTTGTGCGCGTGCATGGCAGCTCACGAGGAGAGTGCAAGTGGGTGCAGGAACGTGTGTGAGCCTAGTTACGCCTTTGTGGCGTGTGCATGCGGGGTGATGGGGCTTCATTGGTGCATGGCTGGCACTGCCCCCGCGAACTGGTCTCTCGTCCCATTAGGGTCTCTGTACAGCCCGCAGTGAGGTGGTGGGAGGTGATGGGTGTGGTGGAGGTGGTGGGGTGTGACCCAGGAAGGATTTTTGCACATTTCTCTGTCTCAACAGCCTGGAAAGGCACTGGCTTTCAACACCATCTGAAGCAGACGCTCTCTCTGGACTTGACACCCTGGCAGCTTGTCCCTTCATAAGTAGACAAGCAGCAGGGTGCCTTGGCTGGAGCCCCCAGGCACTGAAGACATGCCCCAGGTGTCCAGAGCTCTGGTGGCAGTGAGAGGCAGCCCCTTTTCAGGTGACTGAGTGAGTGGCGGCTGAGGGGCCTGACACCCCGGAGAGGGAAGCACAGGGGGGAGGCCGGGCGGCCGGAGCACTTACTGCACACAGGCAGCGAAGAGTTCTTTGCAGGGCTTCTGAAGGAGCTTCTCCTCCGTCTGGGAGACCAGGTCCTGACCAACTTGGGCGATGAAAACCGGGGACTGGAGGGAGGAAGAGAAGAGGAGGCGTCAGTGACGGAGGGGCAGGCGGCTGGGTGGACGCGGGTGTCCCGCCCGTCCGCACCTGGTCCTGGGCCTGGGCACCGTGGTGGGTGGTGCAGGCAGGGGGCCGGGCTGGAAGGTGGTGAGCCAGCCAGGACTTAGGATCAGATTTCTGGCTCTGCCACTGACAGCGTGTGTGACCTCATCAGGTCACATGGCTCCTCTGAGCCCTGCTGTCCTCATCTGCAAAGCACGGATCATGACATCAGATCCAAGTGAGGTGTGTGAGTGCTCACAGTGTAAGGAGCCCCTCTGAGCAGCCGCAGTCTCTTAGCCACGGCGGCGGGGAGGGGGGCAGATGTGAGATGGACCCCACCTGCTGCGAGGTCATGTGTGAAAGGATCTGGATGGTTAAAGGGGCAGCTTGGGGAGGGCACAGCAGCGAGCGGAGGGTTGCGACGCGGGCAGAACATCGGCAGATCTGGGTTCCAATCCCACATCTGCTGCTTGGAGCTGGGGGACCCTGGTTGTGGCACAGCCTCACGGCTGTCAAAAGGATAATCAGGAATCAGTTTCTCCGGGAATGAACCAATGAAAACTTCAGGTCAAGAGTTCAGCCCAGATCCTGGCACATGGCAGAAAGTGCGCAGTAAATGTCACCACGATCACTTTGTCCTCCTTCCGGTTAAGCTGCCTGGCCTGAGAACTTCAAGTCTGAAGGGACAATTCCAAGAGTGTCTGGTCCTACCCAGGAGCAGCAGTCCCCTCTGGGAAGCCAGAGGCAGCCCTCCCACCCCTTCCCCTCCCCTTCCACATTCGCCCTCTGCCAGCTGTTTACTCACCAGCTGGGCCTTGAGGTGGGTTTCTAATAAATTACAGGGATAATTGAGAAAATTGCTGGGAGTGGGCTCTGAAAGACGGGATGTAGACACATTTTTTTCCCCAAAGATGCTGAAATCTGAAAAACTGGCTTTCTCCAGCTACTGAAACATGACAATGGGTTCTCTGCTAAGCCCACTGGGCGGTGTCTGTGGGGGTTCAGTTCCGGGGGTGGAGGGGGTGCCCACAGCAACCTGGCATGGCCCTGGTGAATGAAATCTCCCCACCGTTCTGAGCGTCCACATCCCTGAGTTCCTTCCTTCTTCGTTTCTCTCCCAGGCCTGCTCCTGTCCTCTCTGCAGGCTTTCCTCTGCCCTCGGGGCCTCCCTCCCGAGTAGGGCCTGCCGGGCCCCTCGACCCTGGGTGGGGGAGGCCTCAGGTGTGTGTTGGGGCGGGGGCAGCTGCTGTACCAGCAAATGCTGCCCGCTCCCCCAAGTGCAGGCAAAGCCCATTACACAACACCGCAGACTCCGAGCATGTCCCCCCAGGTCTGCTGTTGCCAGTCCCGGGTGGCGGCAGCTTCGTCCCACCTTCCATCCTACACTGCCCTGGACTGTCCCTCCCTCTCCACACTACAGACTTGAGAAATGAGACAGCAGAAGTGCAACCAGCAGACCGTCAGCTTCTGGAGCAACGGTTGCTCCTTTTGCAGAAAAGATGCTCACTGTTGTGGAAGAGGCCCCAAGCTCCAGTCTGACCTCTGCCCTGGGCCATTTCTTGCGAATCGGAGGGTGTTGATCCTTCCCCTCCAGTTCAGAGAAGTCGATTCCAAAAGAGAGACCCACAGAGAAGGCTCTCCCCAGCCCACATGCAAGGTCCGACGCATCACGTAAGAAAAAGGGCCCTCAGACACTTGGAAAGCGCTGGGGTCCCAGTAACCACAGTCCATCCTCTGCGGCTTGAAGGCAGGAAGATTCCACACAGTCTCAGATCTCTTTCCAGGAAGTTAATCCCTCTGGTCCCAGGAGTCCTGTGAGGCGGCTGGGCAAGGGAGGGGTGTACCCTACAGGCCAGGTGGGCTCTGGACAGGAATGCCACCCTCACTGCACTGCAGGCTCAGGAATGCCAGGGAGCTATGGCTGGCAGTGCCATGGCCCTTTCCAACAGGGACTGTCCTTCTGGGATGAAGCTGAGGGTCAGGATGGGGAGGAAGGATGGGGGTCATTCTCCTCCACATCAAAGAGTTCTTCCTAATTTCTGATCAAACAGAAAAGAGCTCAAGGCCCTGAGATATTTGCAGGGCTGAAAGCAGCCAGGAGAAGGGGTGTTGGTGGGGGTCACTGGTAAAATTCCCCCTGGGGCCTGGGACGCCCTCAAGCCAGCTGTGCTTTGAAGAGATGCTTGATTTCTTTGGTCACCAGATGGTCTCAAGTAGCTCTAGCCCGCAGGCCCTGACTTTAACACAACAACATGGATTTAGGCACCAAGGTTCCTTGGAAATGTGTGGTGAGCAGTGTGGATTTGGAGGACTGGAGGAAGGACTGCAGACACGGTGTCTCTGCTGGAGGCCCCACCATGAATGCTTGGACTCCTGATGGTCTTCGGCAGCTGAAACCAGTGGGCTGGCCAACCTCGATGTGACCAGTCTGCCTGGCCCTGCCAGGAAGTTCACTCTGATGACAAGTCAGGATGAGCCTCAGCTGCCCTTAAGAAGGGCCCTGTGGCCAACTCCAGGACAGCTTAAAACAGCAAGACATGCCTCGGGGACGTGGCCTGAGCACAGGGCTCACTCCCCTCTGGCCTGATGAGAAAGGACTTGGATCCCTGAGGAGCTGTAGGCCTCAAGGCCACCTATCCTGCCCCTGAAGTCACAAATAGAGCAAGAGAATGCACTTCCCTCTCCTATTTGGCTAAGACTCCTCCCCATTTCTTCCCCCTTGAGGTTGGCAGGGGCAAGGCAGGTGGACAGAGGTGGAATTAAAAGCTCGGGGTGCTTTATCCATTCTCTGTGGGTCTGTGACTCTGGATAAAAGCCCCCTCTACCTCTCCCTATGGAACGTGAAACTGACCTTGAATCTGGTACCAGAAGACCTTGGGGCTGCACTTGGATGGGGCCAGGCAGCCAGCAAGCCCAGAGGGGATGGGCGCAGCATGGGCATACTGGGTGGACCCCCTCGGCATTCCTCTCAGAGTACTTGCTCCTTTGTACCTCCAACCCCGCTAAGGCCAGACTCTCTCTTCGCTGTCCCCGATGCTTACGCCACAGGTTCTGGGCATCCTGCTGTGTGTTAACCAGAATGCACCTCTCAGGCAGCAAGATGTGAAGGCTGCTTGGGTGTTTTTCTGGGCACCACAGTGCACTGAGAAGAGCCCTTCATGTTGCTTTGGACGTGAGTGGGGCAGGCCAGTGAAATGGATGCAGGGACCCAGTGGGCTTCGTACTTTCACACCTCTGAGCCCCTCTCCTCCCTTTTGTCCCCGTCTGCCTGTGAAGTTCTCAGTGCCCTCGTGCTGCCCCACTGCCTGTGACCCTAAACTTCAACGTGCTGCCTAGGCTGGACCATCCTCTGCTCCATCAATGTGGAAACCTGCAACAGTCAGGCATGGAAGGCACTGATGACCAGTAATGACTCAGTGCACTGGAGGCTGTGGGATTTCCAAAGAAAAGGCAGCTGGGGGTTGGCAGGGGTCATGGGTGGGTCTGGTTGGTTAGAAGAGCTAGGGACTTGTCCTGAAGCTGCATTTGTAGAGCAATGAATTAAGAGGGAGCGTGTGCTGGGTTTGGAGTGATTTGTGGGCTAACAGAGATTGCCTGGGGCATTCCAGGCTAGAGAGGGAGGGACGTTGGTGGGGGCAGGCATGGGCTTGGCCTGGGCTTGCCACCCCCCTCCCCGTAGGTGCTTAGCTGAGCACTCAATCCAGGAAGCCAGTGCTGACTGATCACCCACCACACCCAAGGCTCTGCCTCCCTCAGGGACTTCCAGTGGGAGGGATGGAAGCCCCAACCCCAGCTCCGCCTCTGTGGGCCAGGAAGTTCAGCCTCCGCCAGGCCAGCCACCAGTCCACAAGGTGGCACTATTGAGCCCCTTGCTGCGGGGCTTTGCTTGCAGACGCCCTAGGGAGACCAGCCTCTGGGGCTCAAGAGTAGGGAAGCCAGATGGCGCACCTGAAATAATTACCTAGTGATTCATCTCAGACCTGAGGAGGGCGACCTCTGCAATAACAGTCGAGGGGGAAAAAATGAGAGATCGGTTTGGGAGGGAGCCCGGGAGAGGAAAGACAGGAGCTGGACCTTGAAAGAGAGGGGGGAGGGGGACCGCGCGGGCAAAGGCCTGGAGGCTGGAGCAGGTGGGGGTGCTGCTCAGAGTGAGGAGGGCTCGCCCAGATAATGTTAAATAGGTGGGGACAGCTGACACGATCGTGTCTAGTGAGGCTGGTTCTCACTGACTGCTGTTCATCCTCACTGAGAGTGGCATCACGGGGACCGCTGCTGTCAGTTGCCCCGGGCACCGCTCCTGCTCCCCTGGGCACTGCTGCCTCCCTCTGCACCATGGTGACTGGCAGGAGGAAGGAACCTCATTTCCCGCATCAGAGAAAAACTCTGCATGTCTGAGGACCATGTTCCTGGAGCATCTCCCGGCTTCTAAGTCCCTTGTGTCCAGATGTCAGAGTGGAGATGGGACCCACTGTATGTGTCTGGTGTCCTTGGAAGCGCCCGGGGATGGAAGCACGGTTGGGACATGAAAGGCTCTTGGAATCACCTCCCACACCTCCTCAGTAGCTGCCAACACTCCTGAAGTGAGCGCCTCTGCTGTCACCCTCAGAGCCTCCTGGAAACACGCCCTATGCTTGTTCAGAGAGTCAAGACCTGAGAAGGAGCATGAGGAGGAAAAGAAGACAGGAGGCTCCCGTGGGAAGACCCTCAGAACTAACTGATTCCACCCACTTGTGGCACAGATGGGGAGCAGAGAGAAGAGACCCCAGCAAGTCACAGTGCTGGCTCGGGGTGGAGCCAGGACCAGTGCTGGGGGTGCTCCGCGGCAGGCCCCAGAGTTTGGGGCATGCACCTAAGCTGCACAGGCTCTGAACCGGGAGTCCTAAGCCAGGTCTGGGGGCAGGACATGGCCTTGGCCTCATCGGCCCACTCCAAACCAGCCTGTCAGACAGGAACAGGCGCCCAC